GCCTTCAAAGATTATTTCTCTGTGGGAGCCGCTCAGACCCCCACATACCAGCGGTGCGCTGTCACTGGGAATCTGCTGGCAGATTTCTACATTTTAAGGTAATTCAGGCGTTAATAAACTGTTTCAGAGGAGTGATCATAGCGCTCTGCATCAGCAGTCTGTGTCTGTCTCCCTGCCAGCTCCCAGATCAGCTTCTCTGATTGGTTGATGCGGCGCATCCAGCAGCTAAACTTGCAGTTTTCAAACTCCATCTGCTTGCCAAAGCCGTACATCCCAAAAACAAGGCGTATGATTTCTAATATCAGGGTTTCTGTGGGTCATTGAAAATAATTAAAAGTCATTAAATTATTATTCTTTTTAAATTAAGACCTTAATTGGCATTAAAATTCATTGAATTTGATAGTCGTGGCATTAAAATGCTTCAGAAAAGAAGCTTGAGGGGGAGAAAAGGCTAGAGAATGGGGGAAAATGCAAATTTGAACCAAAGTGACGGGAAAACGAGGAACTCAGGACATGGCTGCAGCCTGTCCATGGTTTTGCTATGTGTAATATATATAAGTCATGGGTATTTGTTGATGGCATTAAGATTATTTTTAAGAGAATTAAAAAGCATTAAATAAGAGTTACTCATTGATGTATAAACCCTGAATATTATTAATAAAGTTTGCACAATGTTCACATTGCTAACTAAAAGCCTGGCCAAACTGCAAAATATGTATAATATATCTAATAAGTCACTTTTTTCTCAAAATAAGTGACACTTGACTGCCAATGGAATAAGACAATTTACATTTAAAATAAGACCAGCTGCGGTCTCTTATTTCAACTTGATGTTATTTTATTTAAAGTTTAAATACGCTCCCTCTATTGGCAGATCATCTTATTTTCCCACTTAAATTAAATTCATTCAGGAATTTTTTTAGAACGTTTTTGCAGTTAACAGACAGGTGTGTAATCTGAGACTTCTTGTCGCAGTCATTTCATTTTATACTTTGTCAAGTAGTATATTTATTTATTTCCAGATTAGTATGTATTTCATAATTACATTTTATATATAAGCTTATAGTACGTATTCTATTTTAACAATTTATCGTTCCAGATGTGTTAAATACAGACTGAATAATCAGAAGATGTTTTCTTACACTTTATTCAAATTATAAGATAAGTTTATCTTTATTTCAATAAATGATTTAAGTAAAGGGAGCGATTACTTTAAGGAGAGACAGGAAGGGATGGAGGAAGTCGACCTCCATGTCTGCTCAGAAGGTCCCGCCCTCATTTAAGTGAAAACCAATCAGGGTCTTTTAGTTTGATATCACAGCAGCATTGGTTCACGCGTGTCCCTCTGCGTCTCCAGCCTCCCAATGACCCCCACGGCATCACCAAGGAGGAACTCATCCAGGCACTGAGGGCCGTCCTCACCGGGACCCCCAAATTCGCAGAGGTAGGTCACCGATCCCTCTGACATCAGAGCGGCTGAACCTGCAGCTTCATAAGGAGCCTCTGTTTTACAGTTCCTGTTGCCCCTCATCATCGAGAAGCTGGACTCGGACGTTCAGAGCTCCAAGCTGGACGCGCTGCAGACTCTGGTGAGATGGAGCGGATCTCTGTTCGTGCCGCCATGAGGAATTGGCTGTTTATTGTGCTTGGTGTGTCTCAGGCTGCCTGTGTGAGACAGTATGAAGACAAGGACCTGGTGGATTTCCTGGAAGGACTGTGGAGCTCGCTGCGCAGAGAGGTCTGCTTCATTTATCACAGAACAACATCATCCTATAAGCCTGGAGCTTTGGAGAAACTCCAGTGTGAGCTGTGGAGTGGACCGGCTCATCGCTCCTGTTTCCTCCCTGCAGGTGTTCCAGACATCCAGCGAGAAGATCGAGTCGGCGGCCCTCGCTGCTCTCACCGCGCTCACTTCCTGTCTGTCCCGCTCTGTCCTCAAGTCTGACTCTGAAGACTCGCTCAGCACCTTCCTGGACCTCGTGCTCAAAGGTGAGCTGCAGCTTTGATGGAAAATCCTCCACTTTTATGCTGATTGGGTTAAATTAAAGATTTAGATCATTTGATCAAATGTGGAAATCTGGTTTTAACTAAAGCAGCTGAGCTTTTTGTTTTTTTTTAGACTGTAAGCACCACCTGTTCGAGCCTGACTTGAAGCTGGTTTGGCCCAGCGCCAAGCTGCTCCAGGCCGCCTGCAGCGCCTCCTACAGGGCAGGTCACCTTATAACAGCCGCTGTCATGCCTCCTCTGGTTGAGCAGTACAACAGCAGAACACAGGTATGACAGAAACGATCGGAGGGAGGGAGGGACGGGGTTTTCACATGAATTTGGACCCCTGACTTCTACTATGGAGCAAATTTTGTTTCGTAATTGTTGTTAAAGTTGTAGGGAAGTCATATTTAAATGTCAAATCATTCTGGATTAAACATGTATATAAACGTACTATTTATCAAACTATATTGTCCCAAAATGTAGAAAATGTCTATTTAAAAAGAAAATTATGTCTTAAAATCTGTGGGTTTTTTTCATTATCTTCTGCAGGCCAGTTAGTTCTACGTCAGCCTGAACACCTAAATTCAGCCAATCATATATCAACGGTCATCTGTCAATCACATTTTTTCCGTCATAGCATCTTGATTCATATGTCGCAGCTAATATACGTAACGGTTGAAATCAGAATCATTTCCTTTCCCATTGAGTTCCGTCCCAGTGTTCACGGGGATGGACGTCTGTGTCTTCAGCAGGCGTAGAGCTAACAGAACTGGCAGCGTTGCGAGGCAAGGGCTCAAACATGTACGGCTGGAAGCCTTCTACACCAAACCAAGCTTCTGCCGCCCTGGCGTCCTCTTCCACAACATCTTCATCCCCGCTTTCCTCCTCTAAATAAAAGATGGATGATGGAAGAGCCTCATCCACGACCTCTGACACTAAACTCTCCTCCTCTTGCATGTTTCCTCTGTCCATAGCGTTCCTTGACAGTGTCGTTTCTAAGTCACCAATTTAGTGCTACTTGGTCCCAATGGAATTTCCCATTGGGAACCTACTAGCACTAAGTTGCTAACTGGTTAGCAAGATGCTTCTGACTAACCGGTTAAAACCAAACGTGCTTGTGAACCTTCCGCCACAACAATCCCGCCCCCTTGATAATCGACCAATCACATTCACTTTATTCACTCGTGTAAAGTCGTGCACCACTCTGAGAATTAAGAAATGCAACGATTGGAACAGCCACTTTCCTATGACTTTAAGAAATTGGAATTACAAAAAAAAAAAATGCAATCCAGAGATTTTCTATTTTCAAATTTCTTTTTGAATTCTTTTTTTTTATTATTATTGCATTTTACAGATAACTTTATCTTCATCTCTGGGGGCAGGTTTTCCTCTGTAGAGAGAAGCAGTGATTCCTATGGCTGTGCAGCAACGTTAGCAGCTTTGCATTGATTAGCGTCTCAATTGGGCTTGAAGGGAAAATGTGGTCTGAAAAAATACAAATGAAAAAGAATGCAACTCATAAAAATCTATATAAACAAAAAAGTTTGAAAATAAAAGATTTAATAAATAAAAAAACACAAAAAAAATTGGAAAAAGAATATCTAGGGAAAAAAAGTTACTTTCAAAACTTTTTTTGATTTGGAGGTTTTTCAAATTTCCATTTCATGATGGTATTTTTTCTTTAAATTTCCATTTATAAAACATTGTCTTTGACTACAGCAGTAGCGGAACAAACTCCCTCCATAGGCGTCACATTGAAACGCTGCTCTCTGTCAGTGTTCCCACAGACGGACCCTGTTGGAGGTGGAGCAGCGATTCATCCAGTCAGCAGCAGCTTCCTGTCAGTCTGTAGATCAAGGTGAGCCTAATCTGATGCAACCTTTGGATCTATATGTTTTTCCTTTGAAGTTTTCAGTTTGTGTTTTAAAAATTTGAGTTTATCTAAATCAGGTTGTATGGAGTCAGTTTTATTTCCATTATTTTTGCAAACAAAGGAGACATTTTGTAAATAAAAATTTGAAAAAGATGTAATCCAGAAATAATGAAACGTTGACAAATATAGAAATTAAAAAGGTTTTTCGAGAGAAACTTTGCTGTTTTCTATGATTTTTTAAAAACTTTTTTTTCAAATGTGCTTTTACAGATTTTATATTTTCAAATTTATTTATTAAAATTTTTTTTTCACATATTTTATTTTTTTAAATTCTTTTTTTTTTTATTGTGTGACTTGAAGGTGTTTTGGGATGTTTGCAACAATATTTTTGTATTTGTATTTGTTCTGAAAAAGAGAAATTTCAAACAAGTTATATATATAAAATAAAAAAAAATACAATTTGAAATATGAAAAATAAAATTTAAAACAAGCATAATTTCATATAAAACAGCAAGGTTACTGGAAACCTTTTTTTGGTTAAAACATATTTTATTAGTTTCATTTCTGAATTGCATTTTTCTTATACATTTTTTATTTAAACATGTTCTTTGGTTGCAGCAATAATGGAAAAAGATTCCCTCAATAAGGTGTTTTTGGGTGCTTTTTTTCCGGTAGCTTTAGTCTGAAACGCCGTATCATCGCAGAGGAGAGTCTAAATTGGAACTAAGGTTACGTTCACACTGCAGCCTGAAGTGACCCTAATCCGATTTTTTTTTTTTTTTTTTTTTTTTTTGCACATATACAACGTGGATCTGATCTTTTCATGACATTCTGAACTCGTATCTGATTTGTTTCAATGCGATCCAGACCACTTGGCTCTGAGGCCCTGAATCGAATACGAATCTGATCTTTTCAAATGGAACTTGTCTGAACGGCCAGGATTTATCCGACTTGAACGTCATTTGAAAAAGGTCGCTATTCCGCTTCTTGCTATGCATAAGCAGTAAGAAAAACAACAACCATGGTGGCCGACAATGCGGAGGGCAGTATTTATGTTTAACCATATTGAAAAGAAAGTGTTTCTTAGATTGGGAACGATAGCTAGATGCGTCCAGCACTTCTATCCATGTTTACCTCTGTAAACACGGAGCAGCATGCATGCATCGATATCTGCTGCTTTTCTTCATGAAGCCAAAGGAGCTAACAGTAATACTAATAATGGTATTACTAATACTAACATTATTAGCCAATCAGAAGAAGGGGGTGGGTCTTAGGAAGGTGTGTGTCCTCTCATTTCTTGCTCAAGTTGCCAGATAAATTGCACTTTTAATCTTCTCTAAAAGACTGAATTTCATCTACCTTTGTAACGGTTCACCTTGTGAGTGTAGCTTCATTTATTACCTGTTAAGGACAACGCTTAGCAGCAAAACCCGATATCAAAAGAGATGTGGTTCATGCAAGTGGTAGATATAGATGCACTTTTTCCATCTTCTGGCCATTTTTGGTATTGGATTTTCAAAAGTCAAATTTAGTCTTCAATCATTCATGCAATCTCTGATCCAATTCCCCCACACCCCCCTGACATGGCTTGAAAACACACACACACACACGCGCATATTCTTGCCTGTGTGGAAAAAGTTCAGGCTCAGGATTATTATATATTTTTTTGCTTTAATCCGTGCATTCAGAGAGCGTCTAGAGTGCAACAGAGTAAAAGTATTGCTCTTACTGAGGAAAAAATAAAACTTACTAATCGTTTGTCTAATTAAATTTGACGGGTCCAAAATATATAATTTCTTTCCGGTTGCGATGCCAATGTTGGTGTGAAAACTGAGCAGGAGCTCAGAGGTTGCCAGACCCATGAAGCTCTGTAATAGAGCTGAGAATTAAGGTTAGCTTCAGCATTAGTGGACCTGGCAAACAGAACGGAGCGGGCGGGTGAGCGCCACCTGCCTGGCGCTCTTATGTCAGAAATATTCAGATCTGCTAATCAGATGAAGCTCTTTTTTGCCCCCCTCTTATTTCAGATGAGAGTCTGTTTTCAGCGTACAAAGACTCTCTGTGCAGCATGGTGTTTTCAGCTCTGTCTGAAAGTAATTCCAGTCTACAGATCACAGCTGCCTCTCTGCTCACCTCACTGGCCCAACAAACGGGTAAGATGAGCTCCAAGACCTTCTAGCGCCTCCTCAGAAGTATGGAGAGAGCGCTGTTAATACTAAAACAGTTCACAATAAAGTTCAAAGTAGAAATTTACAGATTGTGTTTTATATATATGTAGGCTGACACAGACATTAATTGTTTTTTTTAACTTTTTTGTAGACATTTTTCTGAAATTTGATTTTGATATATTTTTTCTTCAAATGTCTTTAAAAAAAAATGGGATTTAATTTTCATGTTTAATGTTTTTTATCTTTTTTATTTTGTTTTGTCAGAATTTGTTTAGCCTCTTACAGATTCTATTTAAAATTTATTTAAAAATATAAATATTTTAGCCTTTTTTTTTTCATATTTACATTTTTTTTTCTTTTTCATTTAGCTTTGTTATATATTTATTTATTTATTTTTTTAAGGTTTTTTTTTCTAAGTCCTTTAGAGGAGATGTTTTATGGATCAGATTGTATTCAAATCCTGTTTCACAGATTTTCCCGTTTGGACCAATAGAAATGCTGTTGCTAATGTCTATGCAGAGTAGACTCATTTCTATTGGTCCATGTTTGGACCAATAGAAATGCTGTTTCTAACCACACACCAACAGACCAATCCAAAGTTTTTATATTGACCTTTTATATAAACTCATTCCACCAAACTTCCTTTTTTGTTCTGTTTTCGGTGTTATTGGAACAAATTTCTCTCCCTCCAAAGCTGAAATGTTCTCCTGATGTTTGCAGGTCTGCTGTCGGACTCTGACATCGATCTCGCCGTGGATCACCTGACCAGACTGCTGCTGACGGATGAGGACGAGTCCGTGAGGTCAGGCCGGCTCTCCTCCATTGTTTTGTCTCTGTTTGATGAATCCGGTCCGTAACGGTTCTGTCCCGTCTCTGGGTTTAGCCTGGCTGTGGTGGAGTGTGCTGGAGCGTTAGCGGAGCGCCATCCTGCTGCCTTCATCAACAAACTGATCCCCACGTTAAAGAAGGAGATGTTTCCTGGTAAACGGAGAACACTTCCAGGAATCCAGCGCTTACTTCCTGCCGTCTAATAACTCCTGCATTTGTTTTGCTTTAGACCAAAGAGAGGCGTCTGAGCTGCGTTCCCATGATGCCGTGCGTCAGCGGTGTCTGTCCGCTCTGGCTGCGGTGTCTGTCCAGGCCAGCGTCGTCCAGGAGAGCGCGCCCGTCCTCCTGGACGTCCTCAGCTCGGCACACGCAGGTACTCCTCCCAGACCGATGCTTCTCTGGCTGCAGGGAAGGTCGATCCGAAGCGCTAACGACGCGTTTTGTTCCAGATCCAACTTGTTTCTCCACGGATGAGGTGGTGCACGCCTGCCTGAGCCTTCAAAAGATAGCGGAGCGCCTTCGCGATGATGAGGAGACGAGCCGATGCTTTCACGACGTGGTCATCCCGCGCCTGCTGTCTCTGGCCCTCCAAGCTGCGCTGCAGAGTGAGGGGCGGGGCTTCGGTCTCTTCCAGATTTAGAAAACTGGAAGGTTTACGATGTTGCTTTGTCTTTCAGGCGAGGGGTCCTGTGGTCGGCGCAGCCCCCTGGTGGAGGAGGCGGTCCTGTCCGCCATGGTTCCAGTTATCAGCGCCGCCTGCTCCCGCCCTCAGACCACGTCAGTAACAAACATTCAACCTTCTTAGTTTTAATTTCAGCAGATGTGACTAAAAACACATTAAATTCAGTTTAAACTGCAGTTTATTTCCGTCGTCATCGGCTGGTTCTCGTTTTCTTCTGGTTTTCTGCAGGTTTGCCGAACAGACGGCTTCCAGAGTCGTGTCGCTCTTCCTGGACGGCGACGTCTCATTTCTACCCGACAACTCCCTGCCGTCACGCGTTTCGCTGCTCCAGGTAGGAAAAATATCTTTTCTATTTTCTTTTCCATTTTATTGACAGTTTGCGTCACTGTTCCTGTAAATCCTCCAGCTTTGCTCAGAGAAACTTCAGGTTTTACTCGTTTTTCTTACAAAAACATACGCAGCCATTGATGAGGCCTGTCTGTCTCAGACTCTCTGGACTTTGACTAGACCACTTTACTACATGGATGATGAGCTAAACATCCCAGAATGATGTCACCGTCCTGCTAGAAGGTGGACTTAAGGCTAAAGTGTATGGAGTTAATTTTGTTGTATTATTGCTGCAAAAAATAAATAAAATTTCAGTAAAAGGCCACCTAGAAAGGAAAGTTTGAAAGAACTTCTCAATTTAAAAAAGGGTCTTAAGTGTAAAATTGCTGTTTTTTACATTTAGTATTAGTATTAGTATTCAAACGTTTCCATCCATCTGCTGCGTCTTATCCGGGGTCGGGTCATGAGGGTAGCAACTTCAGTAGGGAGGCCAGGACGTCTCTCTTCCCAGCCACTTGGTCCTGCTCCTCCAGGGGAATCTCAAGATGCTCCCAGGCCAGCCGAGACACATAGTCCCTCCAGCGTGTCTTAAATCTCCCCCTGGGTCTCCCCCTGGGCCTCCTCCCGGTGGGACGTGCCTGGAACACCTCACCAGGGAGACGTCCAGGAGGCATCTTAACCAGATGCTGAGCCACCTCAACTGGCTCCTCTCCATGTGGAGGAGCAGCGGCTCTACTCTGAGTCCTCCACGAATCACTGAGCTCCTCACCCTATTTTCAAATGTTTATTTCAGCTAATTTTCCATATTTCATTTTCATTACAATGTTTTTGTAAAATTTCCTTATATTAGGTGTGCTTTGGTGGTGCAGTGGTTAGCGCGCACATGACCCATGCATGAAGGCCTTAGTCATCGATGTGGGCGACCCTCATTCTAATCCGACCTGTGGTCCTTCGCCTCATGTCTCTCCCTCTCTCACGCCTTTCCTGTCAGTATACTATCCATAAAAAAGAAACAAAAAAAAAAACAAGCCACTAGTGCCATAAAAACTCAAAAAAAAAGGAATTATTTCTATTGTATATTTTATTTATTTAAACTAGTTTTAGTTACTGTTTTTTCAGATTTTTTTAATCTTTCAAATGTTATTAAATATTATTTTCATATTTTTTAAGATTTTCTTTAAAAGAGACTATTTTGCAATCCTTTTTCATTTTTTAAATATGACATCTGTGAGAAAGATTTAAAAGACTTTAAAACTTTTTTAAGTACAGAATGATTTTGATTTTCTAATTTTTCACCGAGTGCCTTATATCCACACGCCTTTCAAATCTAAAATTTCTAAAACATGTTTCAAAAGGATTTTTCCACAAATACTTTTTGTTTTATAGCTGTATAAACAAATAAAATGAGATTTAAAATTCCACCTGAAATGTGTGACTCTGTGGGAGTAAGGAAACAGCAGGTATTCATTTTTAGCCCCGCCCCCTAATGGCCGCCATCATTGGAAACTAGCGGCTTAGACCTTTCCATGGAGGGGTCGGAGGCATTATGTGACCATTTCAGGTGATGTAACCGGCATGTGTTACATAAGCTTGCTCTGTTATTTTCTATTCAGTTTGGTGATATTATTGGAAAATTTCAATGAACCAACGGCTAAATCTTAGAAGCAAAGGCTTTGCCTTATGCAGAAGGTCTCCAATAAAGGAAATCAGCATATTTGTCTGACCAGATTTCCTTTTTATGAGTGAAGAAATGCATTTTTGCATAATTCGACACTGTGCCAAAATCCCATTTCCTCCTAGCACACTGCTCACTAACACCTTTGTGGAACAAACATGCTTCAACTCATTCAGTCCAAATTCGCTTGATTTATAGTCAAGATGTGGATCTATAAAGTCTGAGTTCATCCACAGTTCTAATGGGCTTTCATGATGTTTTGCTGTGTTTATTTTGGAAGAAAATTTGGCAAGGCTAAATATTTTTCATTTCTTTCTTTGTTTAATCACCTATAAATCAGACATGGTGACATTTAAAATAGTAATTCTACCTGAAAAATATTCCTCAATGTATTTCAGTCACAGAAATACAAACAATTGTATTTCCAATTTATAGTTTGGGAGCTGAACTTGCTTTAATTCTCATTTGTAATTTCAGGTGGAATTTTCTCCTAAGACCTTAAGGGGTTAAGAAAGTTTGGGGGGGTTTTGTACCTTTTTACAGATTTTTCTTGGATTTTTTTCTCTCTTCACTGTTTGCTTAAAGTGTGCCTCATTTTCCCCAGCAGCAGCAGCAGCAGGAGGACGAGAATTCATGGCGTCGGTCCCAGCTGGTGTGTCTCCTCATGGCCTGTGTGTGTTCGTTCCCCCGCAGCGTGAGTCTCCACCCAAACCCTGGTTTTACGGTTTCAATCCATCAATGTGGCCCGGCTTTTGATTGGAGATGTTGGGTGGTGCAGGTGGAGGTTCCCCAGGAGGAGCGGCTGCTGTCGGCGCTGGAGGAGCTGAGCTGCAGCTGCAGCCATCCGCTCTCCTACACGTCTGCGGCCAAGTGTTTTGCCGGGCTCCTCAACAAGAAGCCTGAAGGTGCGTCTGAGCGTTTCCTGTTGGGTCTAAAATGCCGCTCAGGGTTGAGACGGTCTGGGATGTTCTGTCCGCAGGGACGGATCTGGACGGCTGGATTCAGAGAACGGTGAAGAGAGTGAGCGGCGAGTTGGACCGCCCCTCCTCCTCTTGTCGCCTGCAGGCCTTCAGTCTGCTGATCTGGGTGAGAATCGCCGCTCATCCCTCAGTCAGAGCAGCACCTCTGATGATCCGCTAACCTGTGTGTTTGGGTTCAGGTCGCCAAGGCGCTGCTGCTGCGATACCATCCGTCGTTCTCAGCGCTGACCGATAAGGTGAAAAACCGACCGATGCTTTGCTCTGATAAACAGAAATCTGAAGAAAGATTTGAAGATATCTGATCCTCTCTGTGCAGCTCTTCTCTCTGCTCCACGACGCCGACCTCGGCCCCATGGCCGCAGACGGCTTCTCGCTGCTGATGAGCGACTCAACGGACGTCCTGAACCGTGGTTGCCATGCCGACGTCAGGATCATGTACCGGCAGCGCTTCTTCAGCGAGAATTCGGCCAAGCTGGTGCAGGGCTTCAACGCTGCGCCTAAAGGTGGAGATGAGTAACATTTGCAGCTTTCTATTGGCTATTCTACTTTCTATTAAGATGATAATAATCAGTGAAAACGTCTTGAAATAAACATAAATAAGACGATCTGCCAATGAAATAATGGAGATGTTTTTACCTATTACTTTTAACGTAAATCATCTTCCTTCATTGAAAACTTGTCTTACATGTTAAATTCAAAGGAAAAACAGTTTTTCATAACAATCAGCAGGTGAATAGTTCTGGTCCGATCTTTTCTCCTCCATCTTGTCTGAAATACTTTAAAGGAAAAGTCCGATCAATGGATCATTATTTATACCTAAAACAAATACATTTGTGGTGATTTAATGAATTTAGCGTTAATTAGTAAAAAAATAAAAGCAATAAATTTCGTAGCGATCACCGAGGCGTGAGCGGCCATTTTTGTCCAAATATAGTAACCCCTCCCTCCTGCCATCTTCCTGGAGTGATGTCACGGTGTAGTAAGCCGATACCGCACCGTGACGTCACCAACCGCTAGGTGGCAGTAGTGTTCTTTGACAAACATGGATGCCTCCAGTAAAGCACATTCACATGAAAATTACTCTGAATTAAAAACAATAATCATTTATTGAACAGTTTGTAATAACTTCATTTTTAACTTTCAGAAGTTTGTATTCTGAATATGACCAAACTTTTCTTTTAAGTCATCTGAGCCCAAAGTTCTCCTAAAGTCCAGGTTTGAACCACTGAGCTGTCGGCCATCTTTTAACTGATGCAACTTTATTATGAATACTAAGCAGGAAGTCCTCAGTTTAATCCTCAGCATCATGTGACCTCCAGCGTGCCTCCTGATTGGTTCAGAACCTTGGGGTTCTGAGTTGTGCATCTGTGTATAAAACTATTACCACCTTTTAGCCCCTTTGTGGCCCCGCAGCATGATGCTGCCACCGCCATGCCTTGGTGCAGTGTCTTTGGCGTCGTGGACAGATGGGCTTTCGTATCAGAGCCTAAATGATCAGCCCTAGAAGGAGCGGCGGCGCTGAATCCTCGTCAGCTTCCTTTCATCTGAGGGGAGCGTTTTTGGCAAACGCTTGAAACTCTGACTCAGTCGAGTCGTCCATCAGAACCTTAAACCCAGATACCCTTTAAAAACAGCTTTTAGGAATCAATCAGGTCGACGTTTAGCTTCTAAATGAGACCTTCACTCACATTTATTGGGCCTGTTGGATCAGAACTGGAGCTGCAGCTAAGGAATATTTCGCAAATTTATTAATCTGTTGAATATTTTTCGATGAATCGATTGTTAATCGGACAGCGAAAGGTTCCTTAAAGCTGGGGAACCACTGTAGGATTTTTTTTTGCCCTTTGGGGGCTGATTCTCCGGTCGTGCAAGGATTTTTTTAGTTTTTCCGTGTTTCAGCCTCGTCGTGCGTGGTGTAGTGAACAGGGGGTAACGAGGGCCGATCAGACTCCCCATCAGGAATCGTAAGGTCGGGAGAAAATCAAACGTGTTTGAAATTCAGTCAGCCGTCGTAAGGTCGCATCAGAGTGTCGGGTGGCACAGTGTGAGAAAATACATTGATCTGTGAGCTTTTAAACCCTGCGGTTTCGTCGTACAGTTTGAGCTGAAGCTGCGTGAAACGATTGAAAATATCGGCTAAAAAAAGATTTATTTTTTTTAATGAAATCAAACCAGGTAAAACTAAAACTTTCTCACTTGAGGAGTTCTGGATAAAGAATATTGACAGATGAAAAAATATTTTTTCATGTATTTTTGTTTTTTAATCTTGGTTTAATTCCTCCTCAGTGTCTCTGTCAGCTGAAGGTCTGTTTTAGTCTCCATACTTCAGTTAACAATTATCAATTATTTCAGTAATTAAATAATCTCTATTAATCCCATTAATAGTTTCAGTCCTAATCAGAACCAAATGATAAATTCAAACCTTTTTTTGTTTTAAATGTTCAATAAATTAGTGTAAACTAAAAAGCTCCAATCATGGCTTCCTGCTGGGGGGGCGGGGACGGAAACGAAAGGACTGCTGGATTAGAGCATGAAACGGGCCTTGAAAGTCAGCCCGAAACCGACCCGAGTCCGAAAGAACCAGGCCCGTGCCCGGCCCGGCCCGAATGAAATAATAAAAAGTACAGCCCGAACCCGACCGAACCCGGCAGGACCTCTCGGGTCCCGTCGGGTTCGGGCTAATATTCCCTGCTCTATGCTGGATGTTTAGTTTTAACTGGATTTTCTTTCCTTCACAGAGAAGAAACCAAACTTCCTGAAAGCTCTGTCCAACATCGTCAATAAGCTGCCGAAGCAGGTCCAAGTCTCCGAGCTGCCGGCGGTAAGCGACCCTCAGAGCCTGGTTCTCTGCAGTGGGCGGGGCTTAGAGTAAGTCTGAAACCTCTGGTTCCTCCTTCCAGCTCCTGTCTCTGCTGCTGGAGGCGCTGACGTGTCCCGACGAGGGCGTCCAGCTGTCCACCCTGTCCTGCCTGGAGCCGGTCCTGGTGACCCCCCCGCAGGTCCTGATCCAGCAGCTGGAGGCGCTGGTCAGCAGGCTGCTGGCGCTGGTCGGCAGTCCGTCCATGGTGAGCCTCACACCCTGAACCCACAGCGTTAAACAGACGCTCTGCTTGCATGGAGACCATGAGACCTTTTGTTTTCTGTCTCTTGCAGAAGATCCGCATTGCTTCCATCCGATGCGTCCTGGCGCTCTCCCATCTCCCCTCACATGAGGTGATCCTGATCCTCCGTTTACGTTGGAGGACGACGACTCTCTGAGTTTCATTTGTTTTAACCGGGATTTACATTCCAAATTACTATAAAGATTTTTACGCATTTTTCTCCTGATTAGCCACAAACAGTTACTACAGTTACTGTGATGTGATCCCTGTGGCGTATGGAGTCTAGACATCATTGATGACATAAGAAAGAAGCAAAAGCAGCTTTAAACTCACCGTGTTAAACAAGATTTCCACAAAATAAATACATAAGGACTTAAATCACCAAACAGGACAGATTTCAGTTTAAAGTGAGCAAAATGTTTCAAAAAGACAAAAATCTATAAGCTTTGCACAATGCGTTTATGGAGGGAATTTTGTTCCATTATTGTTTGAAGCAAAGGAATTTTTTTGTAAATGGAAAAAACAGAATGCAGTCAGAAATGAAGTCTAACTTTGCTTTTTTCTTTGATTTAATTTTTGCTTATTGTTTTAATTTTCCTTAGTTTCTTTTTATATTTCAGTTTTAATTGCATTTTTTCTAAATGACACTTTCCAGATCACATTCTTTTCACCACTGGGTGGGTGGGCTTTCCTCTGGGCTGAGGAGAAAGACCCATTCCTATTGGTCTGCTGGTTGTTAGCGACAACATTTTAATTGGTCAAGAGTTAGTGAGTGTTTGGATTGGGCTGATATGTAAGAGAATGTGATCTGAAAAACTTAATTTAAAAAAAATACAATTTGTAAAACTCAAACCGGGAAAAAAAAACTGTTTATGAAAAATTCCATCCACAAAATTTAAGAAAACAGCAAAATTACTCCTAAAACGTTTTTGATTGACATGTTTTTCAAATTTCCTTTTCAAAACATGTTCTGAAAAGCAACAATAATGGAACAACATTCACTCCATACATCCGCTATGGTTGAGCGCAGATGATTTATTTTCTTTTAATAGTGTGGTGGCCAGTTTTTTGGGGATTTTTATAAGTTATGATTTTCTTCTTAAACATAAAGACTAATTTAGTTTAGTTCTCTAAATAATATTTAGATTTTTGTGTCACATTGTTTGTATTTAAAGCGGTAATTTCAGTCGTTACTGAATGTGTAGCAAACTGATGGGACTGAAAAGACGCTGGTTTGTAAAATAAGGTTAAAAAAAGTAGTTTTTTTTTCTGAGCACATTAACTTTGCTTTAAGTCCAACTTGTTCATGTTTTTTTTTTTTTTTTTTTTTTTCTTTTACTATATTTGTGTAAGAAATAAAACATTCATTTCCAAAGACCCCCACTTTGGAAACCCTGCTTTAAAACAGGTTTTAAATATAAAGTAATATTCCATTAAATTGTAAAATTGAATAATTAGAAATATATGAAAATTATTAAATAAACATCTAAATATAAATTTTAAACCAATAAATTGAAAGAATTGACATTATTTTCTAAGTATAGATCAAGGTGAATATTCCCATCATGGCGTCTCTGGTCGAGTTCATTCTTGTTTTTTGGCTGAAACGTCTGCTGCTGATATTTTAATGCGTCTCTTCTCTGTGTGTTGGAGGTGTTGCCGTTCCGAGCGCGCGTGCTGCGAGCGCTGGCTCCGCCTCTGGACGACAGGAAGAGGCTGGTGAGGAGGGAGGCGGTCCAGGCCAGAGGAGAGTGGTAAGCTCCGCCCCCTGCTGTGTCTGAAGGACACGTTAGTGGAGTGTGTCTGACTCGGAGCTGTTGTCCTTCCAGGTTCCTGTTGGGAAGCCCAGGAGGAAGGTGATCTCTGACTGCGGCGTTCACAGCGAATCCGAAGCTCTGGGATCAGTGGGAATCGTTCTGGAACGGGACAGAACCCCGCGGTCCGTCACAGAACCACGGCTCATTACTGACGCACAGAACCGCTCAAACCGCCTGTGTCTGTTAGCCGTTAGCTCATCCGTTACACATCCATTCATCTGCTGGAGACATTGAGTGGAAAATGTTTTTTTTTTTATTTAATAAAAAGCAATAAAACAATCCAAATTTACTGATATGTCGATTCTGATTTCAGAAGCTTCAGTCCCACCAAGTGTCTGAGTGAAGCCTCTAAGGGCGCCGTCACATCTGGCCGATTTATCCAGCATGTGCCCAACATCCCACAATCTGTATTTTTTTCAATTTTCTGCGTTTATATTGTGCATTAATAACGAGTCCAGAACTTATGTCCAACGACAGCCTAACTTATGCGTCAGCTAAAGCTGCTCCCCTCTGGCGCATCGCTGCAGCGATACAGCAGAATAACAGAATTAATAAAAAGAAAAGGTTTTTGGTGTCAGCATATTGAGCGTCATGTCTGCTAGGAAGTGTGTTGGTGGTGGGTGTGAACGCAGGGAGCATCCATCACCCTCACCTTCTGGCTCACCCTATGATGGGGATGAAGTCTGGAGGAGAACTGACGGTTTCCTCCTGTGAACCCCCTTTATACCAAAACGCTGCCAATACGCCATTATACAGTAGCTGGAAGTTAGAAACACGTTCAGCGCTCGTCTGGAACACGTCAGATACGTTGATATGCGTTGGAGAGAAGTTCTAGATAAGTTACACAGAAGTTAGTCAAAGGTTTAGGATAAGCTAGACGCCACGACTGATGAGGAACTGACTCTAAACGTATGTCAACCATCAGATAACTGACCTGGAACTGATGGCCCACGGATGGCAGATGCTGGCATAGGTTGGGACCTACCGAATCGACCTACTTGCCGTATGTCAACGTGTTTCAGCTCATAACTTAACCAACGTATGCCAGCGTTTGTGCCAGTTTTTCTGTACGTCAGGCATACACTGGTCTAAACCGTCAAGGTCCTGTAGCTGCAGACTGTTTCCCTTTTTTAAATTTTGCAGGCTGGCCTCAGTGAGTTAAAGCTGAAGTTTGATCGACGGCGACATCAAGGAAAACATTGCAGATTAGTTTAACCTCAGATTAGATTAAGATCTTCTTTTAGAGTTTTTTTTATTTTTCCCAAATATTCCCATCCAGATTTAAGTTTAGACTTTAATTAGGCCATTTAGTGTCACTAAACCTGGTGATTGAGCAGATGGGCACCTCTGGTGCAGGTTGGGGTGTTAGCCCCGCCCACTTTGGTCTAAAGTGAAGAGCTGAGGCCAGAACACACTGAATCAGTTTTTGCGTGCGATCCGACAGAAAATCGTGTCGGATGAAGTCGTAGCGTTTAGATTGAAAGTCAGTGGGGAGGATTTCCTGCAGGGGGCAGTATAGCTCAGACTGAGATAGAGCCCAGGTCTATTTTAGTCTGAGCTACGCAGCAATTAGCAGCAATTTCATGGGTCTGACAGGAAGGGAGACGCGGTTACAAAAGTAAAACACATCCGCTTTGGAGGTAAATAATTAAAATCAGTTAATCTCACGGGGAAACAATGAATGAAACATTAAAATAGAAAACTTTCCCCATGATGGGAGTTCAGGAGGACAGAAAACGGATAAAGTAGTGATCCTCTTTGAGCCTCACAGAAACCAGAATAAGGAGGAGCAGACAGAGCAGGTCAGCGCAGCGTATCTCTCACCTCTTTATGGAAAAAAGAAAGAAAAACTTGGATAAACTTCACAGATCTCTCTCTGAGAATCACCATAGAAACCGTTTATTGCTGTGTTTTTATTCTCTTTAGACATAGATCTGTTTGTTTTTAATTGATGAACATTCTATCTGTTCTGGTTCTAGATGCTGCAAAGACTCATTAAGTGGGGCTTTGCTTTATAGAATGAGCCAGTGTTTTTTTTATTTATATCACTTCATAATCTGTTCCAGTGAAATGTGTGAAATAGTTTTAATGTGTGTAGAACAGAGACAGAAGTGGAAATAATCTGCTCACCCTGCCTAGTCGGAGCCTCTATATGCAGTCATTGTGACATGGAAAAAAAATTGGATCGAGATTAAAAAATTGTGCAAAGCTGATGTGTTTAGGCCATTACCATCTTTAACATGGATTAGCCTCCAGCTGGTTTCTCCATGGGCTGCTCAGTGGGTAGCACTGCTGCTTTGCAGCAAGACGGTTCCGGGTTCCTGGCCTGGGGTCTTTCTGCATGCGTATTCTCACTGAGCATGCCTGGGTTCTCTCTGGGTACTCCGGCTTCCTCCCACAGTCCAAAAACTTGACTGTTAGGGTAATTGGCTTCTTATATTCTCCTTGGATGAGTGTGTGTATGAATGGTTGTGGGTCTCTGTGTTGCCCTGCGATGTATAGACCCCGCCTCTCACCTGTAGATGGCTGGGATAGAGCGTGGATGGGTGGCTGGATAGTTTCTCCATCCCTGCTGAATGATTTATTGGCCGCCCATCACATTAAGTTCATTCAGTATTTAGAAATGCTGAACATTTTTTAATAAAATCAAGTTCTTTATGTGTAGAAGGCCATTTTGGCCACTAATTAGAAAAAAAAAACATCTTAAAACTAGTTTAGCTTCAAGATATCCAAGATAGCTTTAATTATCTGTTAATTATGAGATTCTGTTATTAATTTGACTTAGCTCATTATAAGGATTATTATGAGATACTACCTCAATCATAAATACTCTGTCATAATAATGATGCAGCTACGTTAGTATTATGGGACATTATCTCATAACGAGATAAAAGATCTAATGGTTTGATTTTATTGGTAGTGGAAATTAGTTTACCTCGATTTGAGAAAATAAATGTCAATGAATAAGATAATTTACATTCAAAATAAAATAGCTATTATATTCATGTTCATATTTAATAATCCTTTAATGGTTAATATATTCCTTTAATTGGCAGCGCATTACAAAACATAAATAAATAAATTTTTAAGGTTTAATCTAAATGCATTTCTTCTTCAATTCCAAATAAAGAAAATGGAGACCAGAAATGTATTTTTTTTTAACGGTTTATTAAAACAGACAGAATGGAGCCCAGCTCCCTTCTGATTACATCGGAATCCGTTTTCATATTTCTAAGGCAAATTTAAATCCAGCTCATTTTTAAAAAGTTACCGATAGAAAAAATGAGAGCTTTTAATTAGAAGTTTTTCACAGTTTTTCCTAATTTAAATAGACTATAGGCTAAATGAGCTTTAAAAAGCGCTTAAAGGGATTTAAAGAAAGGACAGGATGGACGAGTTCTAAACCACTGAAATGATAAGCTTTTTTTTTTCCTTTGGCACCAGAAGTGTTTAAATTTTTCCCCTGAAAACACAAAACAGTAGATCAACTGTAAACATAAATATTAAAACGAAGACGTGCATCACTAAACTAAAAAAACGGAGTGACTTTTGTTCCAGTATTGTTGCAAAGAAAACCTTCTGTAAAGGAAAATGTGTAAAAATGCAGTCTAGAAATTACATTTTAAATACGTTTTCTTAAAAAAAAAAGTATATATTTTTTTCCACTCTTTTTAAACTAATTTCATTTTTTCAAATGTTTGTTTTATTTCTATATTTTAAAATGTGGTGCAATGGCATTTCTGTTGGTCAAAAGCAAATAGAATGTAAAATGCAGTTTGAAAAGAATGTAAATTGTAAAAATAAATTGAAAAGGAAATTTGAAAAACTTAAAAACAACAAAAAAAAAAATCTGAGAACTTAGTAGTTTAACTACCCTCAATATTTTTTTGATTAAAATATTTTTCAAAATTTTATCTCTGGAGTGCTTTTTTCACATATTTCCATTTACAAAATGCGTTCTTTGGCACATATTTTACTCCATAGATTCAACAATCAGCTCCCAGCTGCAGCAAATAAAACATTTCAGGTTTAAATCCCACAGCTGAAAGGTCTGCCCCCTGTAGGAGCAGACCGCCATGATGCTGCAGGTCATCTCCAAGATGGTGGCCAGCAGAACCGCCTATCCAGTGGGGGGCAGGATGACTACTGGTCCAGAACCAGCGAGTTAGAACCCAGCATCCTTCAGATTCTCCTTCACTGTTGGATGTTTTCAAGTAGCAGGATTAAATCAGGCGTCGGCCTGTAAGGAGGGAGGAAGCTCAGATGGCCAAAAGGTCGCTTCTGGAGAAGGTGTGGTCCCACAGGATGCCGTCTCCACTGGGAGGATGGCTGGAGGGCAGGAGGACCCGGGTGATCCAGTGACTGAGGAGCGACAGGAAGCAGAAGATTAAACATGTTTAAACGCAGGCGACTATCTGGGCCAAAAAACAAACATTGTAATCGTTTATCCAACAAACAAGCAATTTAAAACGATAAAGAGAGACTTTCAAAAGGCAGTGAGATGGATGCTGAGTTTGAAGTCATGGGAAGCATCCTCCATAGGCCAGATTCGTAGGCCGATTATGTCATAATGCGGCGCTGAGGCCTGTTCGGGTTACAAGATTCCTTGTTATGCGGCCTACAAATGCATCCTTCTTTTTGCCCGTTTTGAAGGCCAGGTCCGCTGTATCCTACATAGCCTTGGGTATCCCATGATTCATTGTGAGTACAAGCAAGCCGGCTGCTCCGTGCTCAGAGGAAAAAGGAAAATGGCGCCGAACAGTGGTGAATATTGGAAGTTAAGTTTAATATGATGTGAATAGTTCCATCTGAAATGACTGAAAATAGTTGTTTTAATATGGAGCTAAATCGGTCTTGATTTTTACACATATGCGTGTGATTGGCTTATACAAGGGAGCTCGGTGATTGGTTGCAAACATCCCCTTTTTTTAAAAATGCATGTATGAATCGCAAAGGTTTGTGAAAATTGAAACCGATCTAGCTCCATATTTTAAAAGGTTATTGGTTCAGATATGTGGTGGATAATGTTTGGTTTATTGAAAGTTTTTTTTCTGTTACTGGATAAATGGCTTTGGCTGATATTTAAGGACAGATTCTAATATATCTGCAGTTTTGGAGGCTATAAATCTGAAACGGTGCAGCTGTTTAAGCTTCTCTGAAATTTTAGTAGCATCCAGAACAATGAGAAGTTCATTATTCATTATTTTCCTGCTTTGTGTGTAAACTCCCATGGTTGCTAGGAGACTTACGGCGGTAAAAAGCCGCAGAAGGTTTGAACTTGTTTGAATTTGCAGCAAAAACTCTTCCAGCCTCCTTATCCAGTCCAGATAGACCGGGTCCTCGGAGGACGCAGCCACTGAAATCAAACCCACCCAGAAACAGCCCGCCAGGCAGGATGCGCGGCGGCCATCTTTAAAGTCTCACACCGTGAGGTCAGCAGATTGAAACCCATTCAAACATTCCTTTCCAACATTTTTCATTTCAGCGCTATTTTATATAGTAAATAAATGATTTTCCGTCAATTTGTTCAACAAGATCTTAGTTTTAAACTGAAATGATAAAAATGATAATTCAATGCAGAAGAATATTCTAATAATCTGTTATAATTCCCTTCTTCATTAATTCTTTTTGTCCTTCCCTTCCTTGAGTCCTCCTCCTTCCTGTCTCACCTCTTTGTTTCGACTCCAAAGAATAATTTCCAGTTGTTGAGTCGGCCATGATGGTACGGATTTCTGAAAACCTGCAATGAGAGAAGATCATTTAAAGGAGAACATTTCTGATGGAAACAATCAGAGAAAAGATGTTGGAGTCAGAACACTTGAATCATCTCAGTGAAAGCAGCCTGACAGAGCTGTAAACCGTCCTACCTTCCCCTGCTCCCGCAGCCTTCTGGCCTCCTTGCGGTTGATGTGGCGCTCCACGCTGGTCTCTCCTCTGCCAATCAGCCTGGCGTGCCACAGGGTGAGTCCTCCAAGAGCCACGGCGACCGAGCTGCAGGACCAGAACGGACAGGAAACGGGTCACAGAGCTGAGATCGCTGCCTCGTCTCCACGGTTCAAAGCAGAGTTACTCACCTGGTCAGAACCCAGAGGAAGATGATGCACTTCTGAGAAACGCTTTCTTCTTGGCTGTGATGTGGAGGAGGAGGAGTCTGGAAGGACGTCTGAGTCGGAGAGAAGATGCTGTTACATCGTCAAACTGACATGAAGCTTCAGAAGCTGATAAAGTCCTAAACCTTGAGGATTTAGACCAGCGTATGCCTGACGTATGAAAAATCAGGCAGAAACGCAGGAATACGTTGGATAAGTTATGAGCACGCTGAAGTAGTTGAGAAATTTTTTGCATTTCCTGATGTATGCCGGCATAGGACACACGTGGGTCATCAGTTCCAGGTCAGTTATCTGATGGTTGACATACGTTCAGTGATAGTTACTCAGAAGTCATGGCATCTAGCTTATCCATAACTTTTGCAAACTTATCCAGAACTTCTCTCCAACGCATATCAACGTATCTGACGTGTTCCAGACGAGCGCTGAACGTCTTTCTAACTTCCAGCTACTGTATAATGGCGTATTGGCAGCGTTTTGGTATAAAGGGGGTTCACAGGAGGAAACCGTCAGTTCTCCTCCAGACTTCATCCCCATCATAGGGTGAGTCAGAAGGTGAGGATGATGGATCCTCCTTGGGTTCACGCCCACCACCAACAAACTTCCTAGCAGACATGACGCTAAATCTGCTGACACCAAAAACCTTCTTTATTTATTTTTTATTTTTTTTTGGTGGGCGGTAAACAGCAGCTAGGTTAATACTGCGATCAAAGACATCTTTTATGCAGACTGGTCACCTTTGAGCAGCTTTAACTGCCGTTCTTTATGCAGAAGTTAGGCTGTCGTTGGACATAAGTTCTGCATTTGTTACGAAAAATGTATGTATACGCTTAATTTAAAAAAAAAAAAAAATCAATAAAAGGTTCAGCGTTTTAGGAGATTCTGGGACATCCGGCATATGCTGGATAAATCGTCAAGGTGTTACAGCGGCCCTAAGGCTCCCCACGGCTGAGAGACCAAGGCTTCCAAATCAGACGTGCAGAAGAACTTCTTTAATCAGCTGAAAGCACCCCCCCCCCAAAAAAAAAAAAAAAAAAAAAAAGCTGGTGCACTTTCCACATCCTTAATTAGATGTAAATATAAAAGAGAGGATGGTTTTCAGGTGTCCTGTTTCTATCTTTGCCCTCCATCTGATCTCCTGCTCTGACGTCTTACTTCCACCTCACTGCTGCTGCTGAAGTCATGTCAGTAAACTGAACCACAGCAGGAGCAGAGCTCACCATCCTCTACAGCTACACCAACCTTTGCCTGCAGCCTGAACCCCTCCTGAACCAGCTGTTCATTGGTTCAAGCTGCAGCCTGAATCAGCCTCACCTCTATGGCGTCGTACGCCTCCAGGAACAGATCTCTGCTGCTGATGCTGCAGTAGATGCAGCCCAGGGTCATGTAGAGGCAGAAGGAGAAGAAGTAGCGATGGTTCAGGTGACCCACACAGTTGTTCAGCCACGCTGGAAATATGTTCAGTTCAAACGTGTGAAAAAATAAAAAAGCAGGAAATGATTTCAACCAAAGCTGGAAAGGATACGGCAGTGATGGTCCATCTTCAGGACGCACCTGGAAGACAAAGGAGCAACTCCTTACTAACGGCTCCACACTGCAAAAACAATCTAGAAACATGTTTAAAAAATTGCATGAATAAGATAATTTGCCGATGGAATGAGTATCTTTACTCTTAAAATAATATTATTAGATAATATGTAGTTAAAATTGTTCTTATTTTAAATGCAAATTGCCTTGTTCGATTGGCAAAGAGTCTCACTTTCTTCCGCAATTCAAAACAAAGTGCACTTATTTTAAGAAAAAAAATGACTTACCGTATTTTCTGGAGTGTAAGTCCCAGTTTTTTTTTTAATAGTTTAAACGGGGTGCGACTGGTTACTATATAATTTCAAATGTTATTTTCACAATCAACCACCAGAGGGCGTTGTAGGTCTATGTTGATCATTTCAACATTGGTGTTAACTTATAAAAAAAAAAACACTGAGAAGGGCTTAAAAAAAATGGCACCGAAAAGAAAATCATATTCTGCAAATTAAGCCGATACGATATTCTCAAACAGCTCAAACTGTACGAGGAAATCGTACAGTGTGAAATCGTGGAAACCATGTTTGTTCTCATACTGTGCGATCGACGCTCTGATGCGATCTGGGACTCAGCTCTACAGAGAGATGGCGCTACTCGGTATCGTCTATCAGGAAGCCAAACGAGTGGAAGAGGAATATGAAGCTCACTAGAGTGAAACGCGCTGCCTTGGCAATTTGTGCTGAAAGCCCTAAAAAGAAAAGGCGACGGCGCATTTGGACAAAGACATGGCTGAGCAAACGTGGCTATTTGCCCTCGACCACCTTACGACGGCCGACTGAATTTCAAACATGTTCGATTTTCTCTCGACCTCAGGATTCCTGATGGGCTGGTGGTCGTTAGAGGCTGATCGCCCCTCGTTCACAACACCATGCACCATCGTCCCGAAAAGGGCAAAAAAGAAAAAAACGTACAGTGTAAGCCCGGCGTTAAGCTGCAAGTAGCGTTAGCATACTGTTCCAAAAAAGTAAGAAAAAAAAACAAAACAATCCACTGGACTTTGTTTCCAAGTTTGAAGACGTTTCTCTTCCATCCAGGAAGCTTTTTGAATTCAAAATGTCAGGAATAGCTTTCAGTTCCAGGTTTTATACAGCAGCCCAACAAAACCTGGTTTTTGTTTAGAAAACATGCAAATAGAAACGGATGAATGGGTCCACCGCTTTAGTATGGGGGTCGTTTGGCTTATTTGTTAGCCTGCAATGCCTCATACCTGTCTATGTCTCTGAAAGGGGGGTCGTTAAAGGGAATAGTTGGCCTGCCTGAATAGGTGAGGTCTTCTGTTCTCCTGTAAAGGGGCTGGGGCTGAGATGAAAGCGGGAAGGAATCAACTCTATTGTTGCATTGGAGTTTTTTGAAAGCTAAAATCTGAGCCCCCCCCTCTGTTTAAGGTTGGTTTTTCTTTAACATAGATGGCTTCCTTCTGCATGTTTTCTAAACAAAAACAAGACTTTGTTGGGCTACTGTATACAGCTTCGAACTCAACGCTGTTTCTAACATTTAGAATTGAAAAACCTTCTTGGATGGGAAGAGAAACGTCTTCAAACCTGGAAACAAAGTCCAGTGGATTGTGATTTTTTTTTACCGTACAATTATTCAGCCTGCTGTTGCTTCTATACAATTCTTATTTTAAATTGCCTTTAAAGATGACATGTCTGTTCTTGGTGTCGAGTTTTATCAAATAAGTTTCCCCCAAAAATGCAACTTGTACTGCGGAGCGACTTATAATCCAGAATATACGGTATTTAGATTTCTATTTTTTGTTGCACGAGGAGACGAGTCGACCCGGTTCCAGTGAGGTGGTGAACTTACACGCTGCAGATGCTGCAGTGATGAGTCCTCGGCGGTTTGGGTGTGATGCATTTCTTACAGATGGAAACGGAGGGAACGTCCCGCTTTTCCTGAAATAGACAAACAGAGTAATGGACACAAATTTAAAGTCTTTGATACCTGAGAGGGGCTTTATTTATGCTGCTGTACCTTAGGGGGGTGTCCAGGGGAGGTGGTGGTGGCCTTGTAGTAATGGAAGACCACCAGCAGGAGGAGCCAGTGGCCGCAGCAGAGATGCCAGGCGATCCAGTGCACCGGGTAAGTGGTTAAGATGGTCGGCAGGACAAACAGGTAGACGATGATCACCACAGAGGACGTCAGTAGGACCACTAGGCACACAAACACCTGGAGGAGGGGAGGAGGAGGTCAGGAGAACCAGCAGAAAGGTTCTGGGTACAGAAACCAGGAGGAACGGAGGGCTCACCACTCCAAACCAACGGGTCACGTTGTCCACGATCCAGTACACCGGCTCAAACGCGCAGTCCAGCAGCGTGTCCGAGTCGCTCAGGCTGTTGGAAAACAGGGAGCGAAGCAGCAGTTTGCTGTAGCTCCACAGCTCCGACAGCCGGCCTCCGCCCCGACCGGCTTTCCGCAGGCGGCACCAGCGCAGCGCCAGTCTCATGGCCCGGGAGAGCTGCCAGCTCCAGCTGCTGCTGCCCAGTCGCATGCCACCGCTGCCCACTCGCCTCCGGGTCGCTCTGCCTTCCAGGAACACGCAGACACACAGACACAGAGACCAGCAGTGAGAAACACAGGCGGCCAGAAACAGCAGCTCGTTGCCCTGCAGCCAGACGGCCGAAGAGTCGCCCATGGTCTTCCTCAGAGGGCAGCGTGGGAACGAAGGAGAGTCTGACCTTTCCTAGAGAGCATCAAACCTCTACAGAGAGCAGCCGTCACTCTGAGAACCAGAGACGGGCTGTCAGGTCGGCCCCCGACAAACCGAACCCACCTCTGCTTTAATAATTCACAGCGCAGCCGGATGTGCATCAGGAAAAGTTCCAGGAATTTAGGAGGGGAGAAGCTGGAGGTAACCCTGTAAGGAAGAGCCGGATGCAGCAACGTGATCCTGAAGCAACGTTTCATTAGACAGAGTACTGCTCACACCCACAGGACCTCCACCACCATCATCATCATCATCAGCAGCAGCAGCAGCACTCAGGTCCAACAGCTTCATGCATATTTAGTCCATCAAACATGTTGGTGTTTTTTTTTCCAGGCCGGAGGTTGATCAGTGCAGAACTGGGGATTTGAATGATGATGATGATGATGATGATGTCAACAAACCAATATTCACTGCTTCATTTGACTTCAGATTCCTGCAGATCCTGATACGTTCCTGATAGCAGAGCCGTTAGCTTCCATGTTCTCATCATCACTGCTGATCTTTTCAGGGCCGCCATCGATCCTCTAATCAGGTATGATGCTCATGAATGAACACATGAATATCCCAAACTAGAGGTTAATTTAAAGGAAAAGTCCGCTCATATTTAGAATTTAAATTTCTGAAAGTACTTTAAATATGAAATTATTCCATCCTGTTCAATAAATGATCAGTGTTTTTAATTCTGAGTAATTTTCATTAGAATGATCTTTACTGGAGGCATCCATGTTTGTCAAAGAACACTACTGCCACCTACTGGTTAGTGACGTCACTGTGCGATATCAGCTGTTGATCAAGTCCCAGTGCTGTATCTGGTGTTTGTCACAACGCGCTATTATCCAAGTCATCTTGAAAACATTCTTCTTCCAAATGTTGGCTACATATTACGGGTTTTTTCTCTGGCCAGAAGTTCGATGGCAAATCCTCCCTCTTCAAGTTGAAAGGTGAATCGGAAAGGTGAAATAGCACTTTTTCACTTTTGACAATGCACGTGGGCATTGTCAGTTTCACTATAGCTGTGGTGAATTTCAATGGTGAAGTCCTCTGGAAATCTTCAATAATTGTTGTTGATTGCAGATGTGTCTAGTAGTTCCCATTGATTTTGCTTGTAAAGCGGGGAGAATGGCGCTAGGCTTACCGCACCGTGACGTCGCTGCTGGAAGATGGCAGGAGGGAGGGGCTACTATATTTGGACAAAAATGGCCGCCCCCAGACTCAGTGATCGCAAAGAAAATTATGATTTTATTTTTTACTGATTAACGTTAAATTCATTAAATCACTGCAAACGGATTAGTTTTAGGTATAAATAATGATCCATTAATGTCAGAAAAGGAAGTTATTAAGCATCAGATGGTTTTACAGGACAGATTCCATCCTGGAAATAAATAGACTGTAAAGTTTCCAACTGACTGGATTTAATAAATCAAAGACCATAAAAGTTAAGGGGATTTTTTATCCAACTTAAATTTATCAGACTGAACAGATCTGCCTCCATGGATTATGGAGAGAAATCTGTTCCCATATTATTGAAAGCAAAGAACATGTTTGTTAAAGAAGTGTGAAGAAAAACTTAAACGAACATTTTTACTGTTTGCTTTATTTCAGATTTTTTACTGACTGATATTTAGATACTTTCCAGACTTTATATTTTCAAAGTTTTTTCCTAGACAGTTTATTGAATTCATTCTTTTCAGATTTCCGTCTCTGTATTTCTGAGTGGATCAGCATTTCTATTGGTCTGTGCACGGAACCAATAGAAGAAAAGTCTGCCCTGAAAGAACGTTAGCAACATGGAAAATGTCAAATTTTCCCCCAAAAAACTTCAAAAATGAAAATTGAAGAAAAAAAAAAGGGAAATGAATTTTAACATTTTTTCTCAGAAAAATTAAACTATGAAATCATTGCAAATTATAAAAATATTGGTTGATTTATTTAAATAAAAGCTATAAATTACTCTGAAAAAACAAGTTTTCCATACTTTTCAAACAAATTTTCTTCAAAGTGTCCTTTTTAAAACATGTTCTAATTTTTTTGTTAAAAAGAAAGAACTATTTTAAAAAAGGTAAATTGAAAGAAAATGATTTTCAAAAAATAAAAAATGAAAAACATCTTAATAAAGAAAAAAAGTTTTTAGTGATGTTTATAGCATTTATGAATAAATTAAACCAATATTTTATAGCTTACTACTTTATTTGATTTTATTTTTCCCAAATTCTATTTTGAAAACATTTTATTAATTTTTATTTTTTTTTTTCAAATTTCTTGGAGGGCGTTATGAATGACATTCTTTTCAAATCCATAATAACTAATTTACAGAAGAAGATAAATAATACTGTAGTTATTTAAAGAAGGAAACTCAGATTAAATGATTTTATCATTCAGCTTCTAAAGAGGAAACATTAGCTAGGCTATCTGCTGGGTTAGCCGGCCTGAGCCAGCTGCTGAACAGATGTTCTACATCAGCTTTTAAAGGAATATTAGCATAATAACGTTGTTAGGTGAACTGTTCAGATCAGGAGTAATGGGAAGGGGGTCGTTTCTGCTTTATTTGATTCTTCTGATGACGTCATAAAACAGCAGCTTAGAATCTCAATTGAATGAACTTTAAAGGTTTTGAAATGGTTAACGTTTAGTCAAAGCATGTGAGCTCAGTTATAAAGTTTCCATGTTGAGGTGACGGGGCAGAGAGGCGTGGCTGCTGACGGATGAGACGGCTGCTCTGTAACATCACCACTAATTGTTCAGACATTCATCCAGTTGACAATCACATGACTGCCATCTTTATGGAGGGAATTTTGTTCCATATTGTTCCAGAAAAGAACATGCAACTTTTTTTTCACATTTTATCAAGTTTTACATTTCAGTTTCAAAACATGTTCATAACTTCATATTATTGGACTCAATTTGGTGACAAAACACCTCCATACCTACAAATGACCTACCAGGTTAGTAACTTTTCTGTTTTTTTCCCCCCTAGACCAGTGAACCAGGGCTGGGAAACAATTCCAAAAAATCCATTGTCCAATTTTGTTAAGTTTCATAAAAAAATGACAAATTACATTCCTTAAAAATGAGCCTTTATTTTAAACATCCCCTCTGGGGCGTGACCTTAATGTAAAGGGTAAATAACTTCAAAATGTGAGAATGCTTGTGGGATAAATATTTCACAACAAACAATTAAAATATAACAAACTAGATGTTTGAAGGTTAGTGGTGTTACACAATCAGCTGTGAGTAAACATCTAGCAACAAATGTAGATGAACTGAAGTCATGGAAGGCCAACAAGAGGATTGATGGGGGAAAAAAATCCAGATTTTCCAAACATTAAAACTCCATTTAATCACTCTAATACTGACTTCTGTTGGCAAAACAGCTCTGCATGATGGGATCTAACCTGTAGTTCTTGTAAACTCCAGAGTCAACATCATCATTACACCTGTTAAAGGGGGCTCCACATTTATTAACATAAAGATATTTAATGTTTATTAAAACAGCTATTTTACGGGTGATTTATTATTATTATTATTATTATTATTATTATTATTATTATTATTATTATTGTGGGTGACTGAACATCCAGTTTAATTAGGTTTATTTCAGGTTTCTATAAATGTACAGATCATTTTCTGTCATTTGTCAAAATCACATTGCATTTCTGTGAAAAGCAAAAACAAACACTCTGCCTTGTAGATAATATGTTTCTGTCTCTCAGTGGTTTAAATTAATACAGAGACCTTAAAGAACCTTCTAAATTGTGAATGTGTGATCCTGTTAACCAGACATTCCTCCATCTGGTTATTGTTATATTACATTAGCAGGTTAGCTAAGCATTAGCTGCCTGAAATTCTGCCTTTGTTTAAAGGTTTAGGTCTAATGGAAAAACAATGTTAATATTTCTAATACATGGTAAAAATGGCGGACCTTACCTGTTCGGAAGAACCGCGTCGGTCAGACCTGGTTCTGTGGTCAAGTCATCTTTTCACTGGAGCGACCAGCGGGATTTTCACTGCCTGCAGAAACACACAGCGCGAGTGGCCACATTGACAAAGATCGTCCATTAAACAGATGACTCACTGCCTGCAGAAACACTCAGCGCGAGTGGCCCCATTGACAAAGATCGTCCATTAAACAGATGATCCACTGCCTTAAAAAATTGGTAATTTCCCTTCTTTTAACGATAGGGGAAAACAAGATAAAACTGGAGATTAATTTAAAAATAAACGTTAATAATTTAATGTACAGCACAAAGAAATACTGAGATACACGCAATGCTGGGTTAAATGTTTCTGAAATTGTATGAAATTGTGACCGCCGTCTTTCCTATCTTTTCTTAAGCAGAGGCTGAAAAGTTCGCAAGGTACCATGGGAAATGAAGTTATAATAGCAAGAGCAGTATTTTTTTTGTATATCTTTTAAATATCTATGGACTCTAATGGACGCTGTCATTTTGAGTTTATAAGCTGCTGTCATTTTAGCTCTGCTAAAGTAAAAGAAAAGAGTATCACAGAGTATTTACAGATAGAATAAACTCGTCGTCATTACATTAGCCTAAACTAGGAAGTCACGAAGTGTCATGTGACGGTAAAAAAAAAAGATGGCCGCGGTGCAGTGGTAAGATGCTTCTGACATTATTAAACATTATGTTATTATTTCTGAGAGGTTCACCTGACAGTGTATTTATAATCTGCGGTGTTTCCCCTTATTCATCTCACTACCACATGTGTATTTTCGGCTAGTTTCCCACAGACATGACGTGTCAGGCTGTAACATATCGGGATTTCAGGCTTCATCATAGTTTATATAGATATTTTACGTTTATGTCTATTATGATTATGCATAGTGGTGCTTTTAAGAAGGAAGTTGCATCTTTTTCCCCCTCTGTTTTGTAAACAGGCGTTCCCGTGGGCGTAACTATGAGGCAGAGCTGCAGAGGTGTCATCCTGAGGGGATCCCTGTGGAGTTCGGGGACTACCACCCCCTCAAACCTATCATGGTATCTCCTCCTTCTACCAATAAGCTCCTGTGCATCTAATCTGCTCAGACTGGAACCCTGTCATCTTAATTCCCAGCAGGAAATTCCAACACCAGCCTTTCTTTTTTTACATCCAGGTCACAGATACAAAGAGCCGGCGGGGAACCCGTAAAGGCAGCACTTCCTCCTCATCTTCCTCCTCCTCTTCAGCACCTGCAGACCCCCTCAGCTCCATGCTGGACGGCACAGACCCCCTGTCCATGTTCGCCGCTGCCTCTTCCAGCGAGACGTCGGCCTTGTCACGTAGCAGCTCCACTGGGGTCAGAAGAGGCAGGAGGGAAACATCTCACTTAATTCAAGCTCAATCTGATGGATTTAATCTGCTTCCAGGATCTCGGGAGGAAGAAGAGAGTTAAGGAGGAGGAGGCGCTTGGAGCAGATTTTGAGTCCTGGTCATCAAAGCGAGGAGACATCCTGGCCAGGTTCACCACCACCGAAAAACTCTCCATTGTGAGTCTAAAATCTTCCAAACATGGAGGAGCTTTCAGGGTCAGCGATGCCTGCTATGGTGAAGCTTTCGGTGCTAAAGCAACATGTTTCGTTCTCTTTACAGAGTCTCTCTATGGGCACTGACAGAGGTAAGACTGATTTCTCTCATGTTTAGCAGCTAACTGGGTTAATGCTGGAAAAAAATAAAAAATGGCAGATTGTTCTCTATTTATCTCATAAAGGAAAGTGAAGCTGATTTACAAGCTTCGTGTAAGAATTTGATTGAAAATGTTTACAAATATTTCTACTTTCTTCCATTTCAGCGTTGTATCCATGAGGTCTGTACGGAGGGGATTTTGATCCATTATTTTTGTAGCCAAAAAACACATTTTGTGAATGCAAATTTGACAAAAAATATAATCCAGAAATAAAACTTTGAAAACTGTCAGAGAAATGTGCAAATATAAAAATCTGTAAATCAAATTTGGAAAAAAGTAAATATAATAATAATAATAATAAAATCTGAAAGAAAAAGCTGCAAAGTTAATCTCAAAACCTTTTTTGAATAACATTTTTTTTAACATTTTTTTCCTGGATTCCATCTTTTTTCTTTTTTGCAACAATAATGGAACAGAGTTTACCCCATAGCCATCCAAGTCTAAAACATCTACAGTAAAAAAAAATCACATTTAATTTATTTCTGTATCTGAGAAGATGGGCAGCTGGAGACGATGGTTAAGACCACAATGCAAAAACTGATTGAAAAAAAAAGCAATAAATTCTTAGAATCTGTATTTGTCACCAAGTGGAAAAGGTCAATAAGATCGTCTCCTAAATTAATTAGTATTTTTGCCCTTAAAAGTGGATATTCTGCACTAAAAATAAGATTACTGGGTTGTTTTAATTTATTTTTTTTATTTTAAAGAAAATGAAACTTATTCCATTCTTAAATAGTTTTTCTTGTCTGCTCAAATCAATCAAAATATACGTATCAAATTTAGAATTGGCTTAATTTCAATTTGATATAATAAACAATCAATAGAAGTAATAGCTGAGGGGGAATCCTGGAGACAGATATTGCTTTCTGTGGTATTTGCACATATCAGTAGATGGCGGTTGAAGAAGAAAACACTAATATTGATCCGGCTGAGGGATCGGTCCGTCTCCAGTGAGGCTGATTAAGGTCGAGTTGAAAGAGAGCAGAAATGAAGAGAGAGAGGAGGAGGATCTGGATGAAGAGAGTTTAAAGAAAAAAAGTTCACACAGACAGGAAACAGCTGAGAAAGAAGGGAAGATGTGCAGCAGGAAGTACTTACTAACACATCATAGTTCAAGCATGTTTTAGTTTTCTCACCAAAAAAAGCTTCATGGATAAGATTTGGCCCTTAGAGATCAAATCAGCGTTTTACCAGAAGACATAAAATTATTCTTATCTAAGCTGGAAAAAACACATTCACAAAACAAAATGTATTTCCTAAAACTATAAAGGAAAGTCATGGATGTTCAAAGATGATTAAACCAACCCTGCAGGTCGATGCAGATGGTTTTCTTCTGGTTCTGGGAGAAAGGGAAGCGTTTGGAGCAAAGATCGGCTCAGCACGGGGCAGGAGGAATCATGATGTGGGCTGGAGCTGCACCTGATGCTTCGGGAAAGTTTTCTATTTCAGTGGAAATACTGATGATATCTGTCTTCTAGGAAAAGCTCCCAACCCGGGATCATCGGCCGTTTCAGAGAAAGTTCGCACTCGCTTGGAGGAGCTGGACGATTTGGAGGAGGTGCGCTGGTTTGCACACGGCCTTCTAGCATCAGTTTTATGAATGAGCTGAACTCTTTCGGAGGAGACGTTTGAGGATTCGGTGTTTGTTTGCTTCTCAGGGTTCCCAGAGGGAGCTGCTGAACCTCTCTCAGCAGGATTATGCCAACCGCATCGAGGAGCTCAACCAGTCCCTGAAGGAGGCCTGGTCCTCTGACCAGAAGGTCAAAGCCCTGAAGATCGTCATCCAGGTAAAAACACAAAAGAAACAAACCAATCCGTTGTTGTTTTGTTGTTGTTTTCTGGATCAGATGCACTGATCTGGGGTCTGTGTTCCAGTGCTCCAAGCTGCTGTCAGACACGTCTGTGATCCAGTTCTACCCCAGCAAGTTTGTCCTCATCACCGACATCCTCGACACTTTTGGTGCGTAACATGGCTCCCAGTTTCTGTTTTCCTGGTCAAGCTTCCTGCTGACGGTCTGGTTTGTTTTCAGGTCGTCTGGTTTATGACAGAATCTGGACCATGTGCTCTGACCCCCGACCTTTGCCAGGTAATCCAGCCCAAGCATCAATCAGAAATGCCTTGTCTTATTAGATAACTCCTAAATATTTTTTCACACATTAAAACATGTTTTATCGGTATTTTATACATTTAGCCAACAGAAAAACTAAAACATGCATCATGCAGTCAGATTCGGTTTGATAAAACTGCAGACTAAAACTGGTCGTTCGTTCCACAGGAGAGGAGCCTGATAACTAAAAGATCTGCCTCCCATTCTATTTTTAGA